AACTTGAAGAATCTCGTTTAATTTGGCATATTACTCTCAATGAATATAAGAAAGCACTGCGTAAAGCGAAAGCAGTTTACTACTCTTCATTAATAAATGAGATTAAGAATAATGCAAGATTTCTTTTCAGCACTGTAGCCAGGCTGACAGAGAACCATAGCTCGATTGAGCCTTCTATTCCCATAGCACTCAGTAGCAATGATTTTATGTGCTTTGTTAACGATAAAATTGTTACTCTTAGAAACAAAATTAATGACCTCTTGCCTTTGACCAGAATAGTGTTATCAACAGCTCCCGGAAACGTAAGTTATAATATTACACTAGATAGTAAACTAGAATGCTTTTCAGCCATAAACCTTGAACAATTAAATTCAATGATTCTCTCTTCTAAACCATCAACGTGTATCTTAGACCCGATTCCAACTAAGCTGTTGAAAGAAGTTTTTCCATTAATTAGCACTTCTTTATTAAATATTATGAATATGTCTTTATTATCAGGCTATGTTCCACAATCATTCAAAGTAGCAGTGATAAAACCGCTTCTTAAAAAGCACAACCTCGATCCAGAGGTTTTAGCCAACTATAGACCTATTTCTAATCTTCCGTTCCTCTCAAAAATTATTGAGAAAGCAGTTGCAAAACAGTTGTGTGATTACTTAAAAAACAATGATTTATTTGAAGATTTTCAGTCTGGCTTTAGAACACATCATAGCACAGAGACAGCTCTGGTTAAAGTCACAAATGACATTCTAATAGCCTCTGACAAGGGACTTGTCTCTATTCTTGTTTTGCTCGATCTCAGTGCTGCATTTGATACTATCGACCATGATATCTTATTGCAAAGACTAGAGCACTTAGTTGGCATACAGGGAACTGCTTTAAGCTGGTTTAGGTCCTATCTATCTGAACGCTCTCAGATTGTACGTGTCAACGATGAATCTTCCACGCAAACCAAAGTTAGCCATGGAGTGCCACAGGGCTCAGTGCTCGGACCTATTTTGTTCACATTATATATGCTTCCGTTAGGAAATATTATAAGGAATTATTCTGTAAATGTTCATTGTTATCGGATGATACTGAACTATATTTATCCATCAAGCCTGATGAAATTAATCATCTAAATAAAATTCAAGACTGCCTCAAGGACTTAAAAACGTGGATGACCTTAAACTTTTTGATGTTAAACACGACCAAAACTGAAGTTATTGTACTTGGCCCGAAGAATCTACGAAACAAATTATCTAAAGATATACTAACTATGGATGGCATTAATTTGGCCTCCAGTGAGACTGTAAGGAATCTTGGTGTTATATTTGATCAGGATTTATCCTTTAACGCCCACATAAAATCAATTTCAAGGACCGCCTACTTCCATCTACGTAACATTTAAAAAATCAGGCATATCTTGCCTCAAAACGATGCAGAGAAACTAGTCCATGCATTTGTTACTTCAAGGCTGGATTATTGTAACTCCTTATTATCAGGGTGTACCAAGAAGTCAGTCAAGTCGCTTCAGCTGATTCAAAATGCTGCAGCTCGTGTACTAACCAGAGTTAGGAAAAGGGACCACATTACTCCTGTTCTGGCTGCCTTACACTGGCTCCCTATAGAACACAGGATAGAATTTAAAAGTATTCTTCTCGCCTACAAAGCCCTTAATGGGCAGGCGCCATCTTACCTTAAAGAACTCATTATACCATACTGTCCTACTAGGGCATTGCGTTCCAAGAATGCAGGGTTGTTGGTTGTTCCTAGAGTCTCTAAAAGTACAATGGGAGCCAGAGCCTTTTCTTATCAAGCTCCACATTTGTGGAATCAGCTTCCAGTTTGTGTTCGGGCGGCAGACACCCTATCTGTTTTTAAGAGTGCGCTTAAGACCTTCCTTTTTGATAAAGCTTATAGTTAGGGCTGATTAGATTCAGCCCCTAGTTTTGCTGATATAGGCTTAGTTTGTCGGGGGACATCTTACTTCTTCCTTCTCTCTGTCTATACCTGTGTACTCTCATGTTCCGATTAACCCAGCTTCCCCAAATGTCTTTCTTTTTGGTGTCTATATACGCCAGGATCCGGAGTCATGGATGATCCTGCGGTCCTGTGTCCTGGATCGCGAGCCCTGGATCTTAAGTCATGGCTTTGGTCCTGGATCATAGGTCCTGGATGGATATCCTCGTGGATTCATCTTCCTATTATACACACATGCATTTCCAAACATTTGGACTACCTATGTTGCAAATGTATTATCTTTTCAATTTACACACGGCATCTATTGCACGTCTGTCCGTCCTGGGAGAGGGATCCCTCCTCTGTTGCTCTCCCTGAGGTTTCTCCCATTTTTCCCTTTAAACTGTGGGTTTTCTTCGGAAGTTTTTCCTTGTACGATGTGAGGGTCTAAGGACAGAGGGTGTCGTATTGTCATACTGATATTTTGTACAAACTGTAAAGTCCACTGAGACAAATGTAACATTTGTGATATTGGGCTATATAAATAAACATTGATTGATTGATTGATTGAAAAGATCAGTCAGCAGCTGTGCATGGGTGACTGGTTTTCCTGTTGACGTTTTCATGCCCCTGCGGGCCCATTGGGCTGCAAATATATGTACTGTTGAGTGCGCATACTGGCTGTCTGTCCACATAGTCACATCTTTTCCAACCCCCGCTTTGCATGCTTCTGTAAGAGCTACTAATATTCCGCTGCTTGTGCAGAATATGTGTGGGGGAGTCGGCCTGCTTTTATGACCTGTGAGTGTGATACAACTGCAAACCCTGTTTGATTTTGGCCTGTTATAGATTTAGAACAGGACCCATCCACAAACCATGTTTCGCCACAAAGCAGTTGTATGTCTTTCAAATATGGTCTTGGTTTGCATGTTCTGTCAGTCTCTTCTTTACAACAGTGTGGTTCTCCATCTTCTGCTGTAGGTATTAATGTGGCTGGATTTAAGATATTACATCTTTTTATCACAATGTGTGGTTGTGACATTAGTGTAGCTGTCAGTGCCAAATAACGTGCAGGTGATAAGAAAGCCATTTTGGTGTCATGTAACAACATGGTGACTGCGTGTGGAACCATCAGTGTGAGTGGGTGGAACAAAACTATTTCTGCTGTACAATGTACCGCCATTGCTGCAGCGCATACTGCTTGTACGCATACTGGTAATGCTTGTGCTACTGGGTCTAACCTTTTAGAGTAGTAAGCGACAGGCCTTAGTTTTGTGCCGTGTTTTTGGGCCAATACTGATGTCATAAACCCTTTTTTGCAGTCAACTGTTTGTACAAATGGTTTTTCATAGTCTGGTAATGCTAACACTGATGACCCTACGAGACACTGTTTAGTCCTTTCAAATGCAGCTTCTGCCTCTTGTGTCCATTATATCTTGCCGGACATTTTCATGTCATTGTCTGAGTATATGCAATCTAGTAGGGGCTGAGTCATTCCTGCGTAGTCTGGAACCCATGCTCTGCAATAGTTAGTCAGCCCAAGGAATTGCATCATTTGTTTTTTTGTTGTTGGTTTTGGTGCGTTTAACACCGTCTGTTTCCTCTCTGAGTGTATGCGTCTCCCTTCTCGGTTTAAATTGTGGCCTAAAAAGATCACTTCCTCTTTCACAAACTGAAGTTTCTGTCTTGAAACCTTGTTTCCTGTTTTGGCCAAATGTGTCAGTACTTGTAGTGTGACTTTTGTGCTTTCTTCCTGTGTGGGTGACGCAACAAGAATATCATCTACATATACCAAAATCTGCGATGTGTCAGGTATCTGTAATGTAGCCAAACAATTTGCTATTTCTCATGAAAAGATTGTTGGGCTATCCACATACCCCTGAGGTAATCTGGTGTATGTGTACTTTGTTCCTTCATGTGTGAACCCGAACCATCCTTGTGAGTCTTTTTCTACAGGAATGGAGAAAAAGGCATTGCTCAAGTCTATCACTGAGAACCATGCCATATTTGGCTTAAGGCCGTTCATTAACGTGTGTGGATCTGGTACTGTTGGGGCTGTGCTTTGTACAGCGTCATTTACTGCTCTTAAGTCTTGAATCATTCTCCATGACTGCCCATCAGCCTTTTTTACTGGGAAGATGGGGGTATTGCATGATGCATCAGGGCACTCACGCAGGATCCCTGCTTTTAGCATTTCTTCAATTACAGGTTTGATGCCAACTTTTGCATCCTCTTTTGAGGGGTATTGTCTTATGTTAGGTCTGTAGTTAGTTTTTGGTCTAACGTGTACAGGTTTTGCATTCACCATGCGACCTACATCACATTTTCCTTGTGACCATACGCATGGCGGCACCGTTTTCAGGACCTCTAAGGCCTCTTCACTTAGCATACATCATTGTTGTTCAGGGTCGTCTAGGTGGGCGCGTGGTGTCATCACTAGGGTAAACCCTAGAGTTTTGCGCTTTAACCCGCCTCCAGTTTGCCAACCGTTTTTGTCATCTGTCCATTTTGTTATCCTGTTACCTCTAGCCACTAATAAACCTAAGTCTCTCCATGAAGTCCCTGGGCCCCTAGCTACTGATATGTGTGGCGTGGAACCTGGTTCCATTATCAAGGCAGTGGTTGATGGGACCCTAGCGTCAATTACAACATCCCCGTGTTGGTTTGCATACATCGAGTGGAACACTACCCTCTGTGGTGTCAGTCGATGCACGAGCACATCATAGTCTTTGTCTGGGCCAGGGGTGTTCTTGTACTTTAGTGTAACGTGCAATGCATCAGGTTTCATTACTTCTTGGCCATGTTGTGGGGTGAATAGTGTTAACAGGTGTTCACCTGTGTTTGTCACGTCAGGTTGTGGCATGTCTAATGACCAGTAGTAGTTGGGGGTGTTTATGGATTTTTGAAGGAAGACCTGGTCTTCCACCTTTTCTCCGGGCCCTACTGCTCGCATTCCCCCTTTAACTGGTACTACACTGATTTTTAACATTTCCATGCCGTCTCTCACTAGCAAATTGACAGGGCAGTTTGAGATGAACACAAATTTGAGGGAGGCCTGGAGGCCTGACCTTCTATCTTCCATAAAAAGTGGCTTTGAAATCGACCTCTGATTTATGTGTCCATTTGCTGATTTTACAAACATAGTGCCAGTTGGTGGCCACATTCTTTGGACCTCTTTGTTCACTACTGATGAGTCTGCACCGCTGTCACATAATAATTCTAATTTTTCCCCATTGATTTCGATTGTCCTGGTAGGTTTAATACTGTTGTCTGACAGATTCAGTAATACTTCAGAAAGGTCAATGTGATGTGTGTGGACGTCCTCTTCTTCCTTTTCTACGTCTAGTCAGTTGTCATAACTATGTAGGTTATGTGAAGGGGGGAGGCCATGTCTCTCGTCTTTGTACTGTCCCTTTTGTCCCCCTTCTTTGTTCTGTGGTCTCTGTTCCTCACAGTCTCTCGCCATGTGCCCCTCCTTTCCGCACCTGTAGCAGAGGAATTTGCCTTCTGCGTTTCTGCCTCCTCCTCTGCCTCTGCCTGTTCCTCTATCATTCCCTCGTCCTCTGTTAAACCTGCCTCTCCCCTGTCCTGGTCCCACAAAGAAAATCTGATTTTCTTCCCCATCTTCTCCTATGAAGAAAGCTGATGCTGACGCTTTCTTATGTCTTTTTTCTTTAATCTGGGTTGCTGCATGTTCTGCATAATTTAGGCACTCTTGTAAGTCGCATGTCCTATGGTTAACATTATGCTTGCGGATAAAGTCAGCAATACCTGGGTGGAACCCATTCATCAGGCTTTGTTTCAGCTGCTGCACATATGGGGAGTCAACAGCATTGTTGGGTGGAATTCCGCTATGGATACGGAAACAATCTTCCATTCTGATTCTGAAATCTTGTACTGACTCTTTTTCTCCCTGTCTACACCCTGAGACTTTAGTAAAGTCTCGTCTCAGTGCAAAAACCCTCTCGATTGAGATATTTACGGGAGCGAGTGCATTGATGAGGTCCTGCTGACCTGGTTCCAGGGGGTTTCCATTGGGCCAGGACCCGGTGAAATCTCCCTTTACCCTGGCCCATTCGTGGCCAAAGATTGTCATAAGGGTTCTTAAAACTTCATGTCCATTTAAACCATATGACGCTATTAATGCAGTATGGTCAAGGACAAACTGCGCCGGGTCCTGTTTGTATGGAGTCAGTCCCTCACAAGCCTTTTTACACTCATCCATTGTCCATGGGCGGAACACTCTTAACATTCTTTCTAGGTCACCGCCAACTCCATAGTGCGGGTTGGCCACTTGTACTAATGGATAAGCGTCACCCTGATATGCTGTTCCGTCGAAGGATTTTTCTGCTTCTCTTAATTCTTCAACAGGATATAACTTGGTTCCCCCCTTATTTTTTCTGGTGTGCAGTGGGCTTAATGCATCTGCCATTTCTTTGTCGATGCGTTTTTGTGTCTCTCTTTCCCTGTCTTTTCTCTCTTTCTCTTGCTTCCTTTTTATTCTTTGTTCCTGCGCTTTGTGTTCTTCCACTATCGCTCTCTCTTTCTCGCGGCGTACAGCGTCAACTGACCCTGAACGCCCTGTCTCCTCGTCTGCTTTCACTGAAACAGCCGCTGCTATCATACCTTCTTCTGCTCCACCTGTCCTTTTATGGGCTTGTTCAGCCCATAAAGCTGCAACCCGCAGTTGAGCTTCTAACTTCTTTATTTTCTTGCCTTGTGTTGTTCCAGCTGTTGCTGCTCTCAATTTGTCGCTTAATTCTAGCTTGGTGTTCCTACTGGACAACGTGCCGGTCAGAACCTAATTCCTAATTCACCACTACGTGTACTTCAACAGACCACAGAGTTTGTGTTATCACCGTTAGGTTTCCACTCTGTGCGCTGATTCCACCGGTGACACTTTTACACACCACTTTCACTCAATCACTCATAAGTGTACCCAAAGGCACGTCGATCCTCCTTCTAGGCGGAGTAGCCTTTCTCTATCAACGTTTTATCAACCTCCTTAATGGCGGAGTAACCGTGTATATCAACGTTTTATCAACCTCCTTAATGGCGGAGTAACCGTGTATATCAACGTTTTATCAACCTCCTTAATGGCGGAGTAACCGTGTATATCAACGTTTTATCAACCTCCTTAATGGCGGAGTAACCGTGTATATCAACGTTTTATCAACCTCCTTAATGGCGGAGTAACCGTGTATATCAACGTTTTATCTTACCCGTTATCTGTGGTCACTGGTCCGGTTGGATTCCGTCAATCGTGCCTAGGATGAGGGAGGTTGGACATATAAGCACCGGCCCGGCCACGAATTCTGCGTCCCGGGTCTTTCTCGGGGTCGGCTGATGATCCCGGCTGTCGACAGACTGCGGCGTGTCTTTTCCCTCCTCCTTCCCGTCACGATGTATTGGACTCCGGCTCGAAGGACCAATTAATGTGGGGTATCTATATTACTTTGTAAGGGTAAAACCCCAGCTCGGTTCAATAACCAAAATCCAGTGAACAGAGATAACAGTACTCGAGTTTCAAGTTTACTTGCTGCAAGGAGAATCGGCGAGTGACATGCAATGTCCACTCCTTAACCAACTCCGCTCGCCTTCTCTCAGTGCATTATTTTTATTTCAACAATACAGTAACATGACAATCATGTGGTGTTGACCAACGCCTTATTTGTTAGTGTGAATCTTGTGACTCTCAGTCATATGAATCTGTGTGTGTGTGTGTATGTGTGCCATTTGAACAGACTGTTCTCTGTTCCTCCATTAACACATTTATGAGAATACATTATGAAAACACATTTATCCTTCAATAAACTCTAACAGAGATTCCACCAATACTTAACTCGATAGCATGTCTGCATGTAAGGGAGGAAACGTATACAAAATGTACACCACCTCAAATTGATCATGTTGTTGATAGTGCTACAGATGCGCTGCAAATAAAATTAGACTCTGTTGCTACTTTGAAAAAGAAGAAAATAAAACAACATAGATTAGCTCCATGGCATAATGCCGAAACCCGCAAAATAAAGCAAAAGTCGAGACAACTTGAAAGAATATGGCGTTCCACTAAACTTGAAGAATCTCGTTTAATTTGGCATATTACTCTCAATGAATATAAGAAAGCACTGCGTAAAGCAGGGGTGCCCAACCTTTTTTGAACCGACAGCTACTTTTAAAGTTGCCAGTCTGCCGAGATCTACCAGTCCAAATAGAGAGGCGTAGCCATTACTGACAGCCTACTACCAGGTAAATACACACTTCTACTTGTATAAAACTGACCTTTGTACGATTAATACTTCATAAAATACTGCAGATCCTTTATCTTACCTCTTTCTAATCTACACACATACAAGTATTTAACTGAAGCTACACAACAGTGTTGTTGATACAGAGTTGGAGTTTATTCACACGTCACATACTACAGTGGGTAATGTTTTCAAGTAACATTGAACAGTGCTGCCACATATGACACAGGAAAAAAAGAAAAGACTCTGAACCCTTTCTTTGCCATTATATAAAAATAGTGTTGCTACAAAAGTATAAATTAGGCTTACTAATAAGACAACTCAGATCTGAAGCTACTCAGGAATCTGCTGCAACAGTGCAATAAAAAAGACAAAATTAATAGAATCAAACCCTTTTTTTGTTGCATTTTAGTAGATTATAAAAAGAAATGCCTTTAAAATAGGTTGCAAGCAACACTAGTTTCTTAACCTGAATTGATAATAGACTATAATCAATTTAAGTTTGCATTCTTATACCATTTTGTACAATAATTATAATGAATAAGTTCAAACAAACTCAAACTTACAGCTGATTAATAATGGTATCTAACTTAAGTTTTTATCATATCGAAAACCTGTAGAAATGCTACTGTTATTTTTACTGTCCCCCAAAAGCGCGTCGGCAGCCTCCAGGAATGCTTCTTTCACAACTTCGTCGTCTTTGAAAGACTTCATGTGTTTTGCAAGAACGTGACTGACACGATAAGATGCTCTGGTAGCAGCCTTGCTCTTGTTGTTGGGCCTGGTGAAAATGGACTGCTGTGCATTTAGCTGTCCTAGGGCAAAATTAGGAGGGAATTCCGTCTCGTAGCGTTTGTGCACTGTTTTGAAATGCCGCTCCTAAATTACCCTTCTTCGATAAAGCCACGCTCGCATTGCAGATGAGACAGATGGACTTTGAATTGGAATAGATACAAAAATAATCATCCTCCCACTCGGAGTGAAAATTATATATGTTTTGCTTCTGCCATAATTGCAGTCTTGTGTGTGTGCGGACTGTCACTCCTGTTGACACGGACAACATTAGCGAACTAGTGCACTGCCCACTGCTCACCAGCCACGCCCCGACACATGGGGTCACGCCGGCCAATCACAAAGCTTTGATGCGTTCAAGTGCATTATTCTGCCACAAGAAGATTATGTTACAGGACATTAACGATAAAACAGAATATTGTTGTTCTATTTTTAGACACATCTCGCGATCGACTGGTTGGGCACCCCTGGCGTAAAGCGAGAGCAGCCTACTACTCTTCATTAATAGATGAGAATAAGAATAATGCAAGATTTATTTTCAGCACTGTAGCCAGGCTGACAGAGAGCCATAGCTCGATTGAGCCTTCTATTCCCATAGCACTCAGTAGCAATGATTTTATGTGCTTTTTTAACGATAAAAGTGTTACTCTTAGAAACAAAATTAATGACCTCTTGCCTTTGACCAGTATAGTGTTATCAACAGCTCCCGGAAACGTAAGTTATAATATTACACTAGAAAGTAAACTAGAATGCTTTTCAGCCATAAACCTTGAACAGTTAAATTAAATGATTCTCTCTTCTAAACCATCATCGTGCATGTTAGAACCAATTCCAACTGAGCTGTTGAAGGAAGTTTTTACATTAATTAGCACTTCTTTATGAAATATTATGAATATGTCTTTATTATCAGGCTATGTTCCACAATCATTCAAAGTAGCAGTGATAAAAACGCTTCTTAAAAAGCACAACCCCGATCCAGAGGTTTTAGCCAACTAATAGACCTATTTCTAATCTTCCGTTCCTCTCAAAAATTCTTGAGAAAGCAGTCGCAAAACAGCTGTGTGATTGCTTAAAAAACAATGATTTATTTGAAGATTTTCAGTCTGGCTTTAGAACACATCATAGCACAGAGACAGCTCTGGTTAAAGTCACAAATGACATTCTAATAGCCTCAGACAAGGGACTTGTCTCTATTCTTGTTTTGCTCGATCTCAGTGCTGCATTTGATACTATCGACCATGATATCCTATTGCAAAGACTAGAGCACTTAGTTGGCATAAAGGGAACTGCTTTAGGCTGGTTTAGGTCCTATCTATCTGAACGCTCTCAGTTTGTACGTGTCAACGATTAATCTTCCACGCAAACCAAAGTTAGCCATGGAGTGCCACAGGGCTCAGTGCTCGGACCTATTTTGTTCACATTATATATGCTTCCGTTAGGCAATATTATAAGCAATCATTCTGTAAACTTTCATTTTTATGCGGATGATACTCAACTATATTTATCAATCAGGCCTGATGAAATTAATCATCAAAATAAAATTCAAGACTGCCTCAAGGACTTAAAAACGTGGATGACCTTACCTTTTTTTGATTTTAAACAGTTATTGTACTTGTTCCGAAGAATCTACGAAACAAATTATCTAAAGATATACTAACTATGGATGGCATTAATTTGGCCTCCAGTGAGACTGTAAGGAATCTTGGTGTTATATTTGATCAGGATTTATCCTTTAACGCCCACATAAAATGAATTTCAAGGACCGCCTACTTCCATCTACGTAACATTTAAAAAATCAGGCATATCTTGCCTCAAAACGATGCAGAGAAACTAGTCCATGCATTTGTTACTTCAAGGCTGGATTATTGTAACTCCTTATTATCAGGGTGTACCAAGAAGTCAGTCAAGTCGCTTCAGCTGATTCAAAATGCTGCAGCTCGTGTTCTAACCAGAGTTAGGAAAAGGGACCACATTACTCCTGTTCTGGCTGCCTTACACTGGCTCCCTATAGAACACAGGATAGAATTTAAAAGTATTCTTCTCGCCTACAAAGCCCTTAATGGGCAGGCGCCATCTTACCTTAAAGAACTCATTATACCCTACTGTCCTACTAGGGCATTGCGTTCCAAAAATGCAGGGTTGTTGGTTGTTCCTAGAGTATCTAAAAGTACAATAGGAGCCAGAGCCTTTTCTTATCAAGCTTATAGTTAGGGCTGATTAGATTCAGCCCCTAGTTTTGCTGATATAGGCTTAGTTTGTCGGGGGACATCTTACTTCTTCCTTCTCTCTGTCTATACCTGTGTACTCTCATGTTCCGATTAACCCAGCTTCCCCAAATGTCTTTCTTTTTGGCTTCTATATACGCCGGGATCCAGAGTCATGGATGATCCTGCAGTCCTGTGTCCTGGATCGCGAGCCCTGGATCTTGAGTCGTGGCTGTGGTCCTGGATCATAGGTCCTGGATGGATATCCTCATGGATTAATCTTCCTATTATACACACATGCATTTCCAAACATTTGGACTACCTATGTTGCAAATGTATTATCTTTTCAATTTACACACGGCATCTATTGCACGTCTGTCCGTCCTGGGAGAGGGATCCCTCCTCTGTTGCTCTCCCTGAGGTTTCTCCCATTTTTCCCTTTAAACTGTGGGTTTTCTCCGGAAGTTTTTCCTTGTACGATGAGAGGGTCTAAGGACAGAGGGTGTTGTATTGTCATACTGATATTCTGTACAAACTGTGAAGTCATCAGGGAGGGACTCGGAGTTGAGCCGCTCCTCCTTCGCGTCGAAAGGAGCCAGTTGAGGTGGTTCGGGCACCTAGTTAGGATGCCACCTGGGTGCCTCCCTAGGGAGGTGTTCCAGGCACGTCCAGCTGGGAAGAGACCAAGGGGTAGACCTAGGACCAGGTGGAGGGATTATATCTCTTCGCTGGCCTGGGAGCGCCTTGGGATCCCCCAGTCAGAGCTGATTGATGTCGCCAGGGAAAATAAAGTGTGGGGCTCTCTGCTGGAACTGCTACCCCCGCGACCCGACCACGGATAAGCGGGAGAAGATGGATGGATGGATGGATAAATAAACATTGATTGATTGATAAAAATATTCCCCCGATTCTTGGTTCTTCATAATTTTGGATATCCAATCCAATCCAATCCACTTTATTTATTTTTTTTTTAAACATTTATTTATCCAGATAAATCCCATTGAGATCATTGAACTCTTCTACAAGGGAGACCTGCTAAACACATAAGAATAAATACAAGGCACATAAAGGCTATGGACAGACAGTAAAAGCATACAAATAGGTAAGACATAGCTCAGTTTTTAGGCAGGACTTAAAAACGTCAAGAGTGGGCGACAATTTAACCTGAGGGGGCAGGTCGTTCCAGAGCCTGGGGGCTACCGATGAGAACGCTCGGTCTCCCCTGGTCTTTTTTGTTTGTTTTTGGGACTACAAGCAGCAGCTGATCAGCCGACCTCAAAGCCCTTGAGGGGGTGTACACCTGTAAGAGGTCGGAGATGTACTCTGGGGCCAGCCCATTAAGAGATTTAAAAACAAACAATACAATTTTGAAATGGACTCTAAAATGGACAGGAAGCCAGTGGAGCGAAGCCAGAACTGGTGTGATGTGGACAAACTTGCGGGTTCCTGTAAGCAGCCGCGCCGCAGCGTTTTGTACAAGCTGCAGGCGGGCCAGCGAAATCTTATTTAGGCCGGCATAAAGTGCATTACAATAATCTAAACGAGTTGAAACAAAGGCATAAATTACACGCTCAAAGTTTAAGAAGGATAAAACCGGTTTAATTTTGGACAGGAGCCTCAAGAGATAAAACTGGATTTAACCACAGAGTTTATCTGTTTATCTAATTTAAAAGCACTGTCGATTTTGACACCGAGATTTGTGACCATGGGTTTTGCAAACTGTTGCAGGGAACCCAGGTCAATGGAAGGGACATCACCATTTGGTCCAAACACAATTACCTCCATTTTGCTCTCATTTATATTTAAAAAGTTTAGCGCCATCCAGGCCTTTATGTCATTAAGACAGTCAACCAGGGGCATCAGAGAGCTAGTGTTTTTTTTTTTCTTAGGGGTAGATATCATTGGGAGTCGTCCGCATAAAGGTGGTAGGAGACGCCATGTTTTCTAAAAATCAGTCCAAGGGGGAGAAGGTATAAGGAAAATAAAATAGGCTCCAAAATAGAACCTTGGGGAACTCCACAGGATAAGGGGGCAGAAGAGGATGTAAAGTCACCAAGCGTAACAGAGAAAGATCTCTTGGACAGATAGGACCTGAACCACTCTAAGGCAGTGCCCCTGATACCCACACAGTGCTCTAGACGAGAGATAAGGATGGAGTGGTCAATCGTATCAAAAGCAGCTGTGAGGTCTAAGAGCATAAGGATGGCAGAGTCACCAGAGTCTGTAGTGACCAGGAGGTCATTGAATACTCTTAGAAGGGCAGACTCAGTACTGTGAAGCGCTTTAAAACCGGATTGAAAAATATCGAAAATATTGTGTGCATGTATAAAAGACTGCAGCTGTAAGAGTACGGTTTTCTCCAATATCTTTGAAATAAAAGGAAGCTTCGAGATGGGTCTGTAATTTGAGAAGACAGAAGTGTCCAGATTAGTTTTCTTTATCAGGGTGCCACAACTGCTTGTTTGAAATAAACTGGCACAGAACCGGACTCTAGGCTGCTATTTATAATGTTATGGACATTAGGTCCAATAGTGTCCCATACCTCTTTAAAAAGTCGAGGAGGGACTGGGTCTGTGGGACAAGATGAGGGTTTTAATTTAGCAACAATGTCACTGAGAGATGACAACGACACAGGTCCAAACTGCTGGAAGACAGCAGTGCATGTGAAGTCAATGGAGGGGTCAAAAGAGGGTGGTGAGATACTGGCTCTAATAGTGGAGATCTTGTCTATAAAACAGCAGAGGAATTTTTCACACATCTCAGTTGAAGCATCAATACAAGTGGATAAAGGAGAGTTTAACATAGCATCGATTATTTTAAAGAGAACACGAGGTTTGTTTAAATTACTAGAAATAATATCAGAAAAGTAACTGATCTTTTCAGCTTTTACAGTGCTCCGATACTTTCTCCAACTCTTTCAAAATGTCACGAGTTACATGAAGCTTGTCCTTCTTCCACCTGCGTTCAGCCTGCCGGCACTCACGTCTGGCAGCATATCATACCGTTTAATTTCGATAACAACCAATGAATGCAAGCGAAGAGTCTGACTATTTTGATTTGTTAATCTACATTGACACACAATAATTATTAGTATAACAATGCTCTCCCTTATTTAGAAAACATAATTATCTTCACATCAAGGAAAGTCAATCAGACAGTAACGGGATGGTGAACATGTATCAGTGTCCCAGCCTGACTTGGACCAGAGATGTCGTTTCATGGACAGATCCATAACTTGAAATACACAATACACAGGTGTTAAGGACACCCTGTATGATAAAAGGTTTTGCTTCTATCATTGACATTTCACTTGAATAGTTATGGATCTCACCTTTTAAGTCATTTTTAGTTGTATGAAGGCTACTTTTATAAATATAACAGCTACATGTGTAGTTTGAACACTTATGACCTAGTGTTTGACCAAACATTTAGTAATGCTTGTTTACAAAACCAAAAAGAGACAAATGCTGAAGGTTCAATGTTTTGCAGAACTGCCCAAGTTGTAAATGCTCCATTTCAGTGTTGGTGTATGTAATGAGTGAAGCCAGCGTCCCTCACACAGCATTATGTTACGTATTTTAGGAAATGACATGATGGAACTTTACCTTTGACTGAAATACGTTTTCAAAAAAAACAACCATTTTAAAGCTTGTTCACACAAGGAAAGCTAGTGTGAACACAAAATGTTCCAATTCAAAACCTACTAAGAAATGGTTGAGCAATGATGCCACCATGTGGACACAAAGCCACACTATGACAACACTTCAAATGCCAAACATTAATTACATTTATAAATGTAGGAATTTAAAGTGTGCACTTTAAGTTAATTTGTCAGCACAATTTTTCTGTTTAAATGAAATGTCATTTCTCAATATGGACTGTTCACTCATTCACAAACCAAATGAGACTTCTTGAAGAGCCTGGAATAAAAAGCCTCTTGGGTAGTTGAAGGTTAACAAAAGCACAAACTATAAATCGTCTGTTCAAAACTTTTATTAGAACTGTTTAAGTATGGTAGCGTGGAGGAGGAAAAGGAGGCAGCATTGGTATGGGCAAGTGAACATGGGGATGAAAAGGAGGATGGGGTGCCGGAGTGGGCGGGCAATCTGTTTTCACAGTGGTAGCTGGAGTGGCTGGATATTGGGGATAGGGAGGGGACATAGGGTAAAGATGATAGTAAGGCATAGATGGTGGAAGCTGCGATGAGGGATTTTTAGCCTTTGGTTTAGTTGTAGTTGGTGTTGTCGCAGTAGGTTTTGGCTTTGTAGCTGGATATTTGGGAGGATAAAGAGGATTAAACGCAGGATACATCGGCATATATTGTGGAAACGGCATCTGAGGGTTTTGAGGCTTCTCAGGGTTTTGAGGCTTCTCAGGGTTTTGAGGCTTCTCAGGGTTTTGAGGGAATTGAGGAATCTCAGGGTTTTGAGGGATTTGAGGCATTCAGGGTTTTGATGGAATTGAAGCATCTGAGGAATTGAGACATCTCATGGTTTTGAGGAGGGAATTGAGGCATCTCAGGGGTTTTGAGGGAATTGAAGCATTTGAGGGAATTGAGGCATCTCAGGTTTTTTGAGGATTTTGAGGCATCTGAGGGTATTGAGGGTATTGAGGCCTCTCAGGGATTGGGCCTCTCAGGGAAGTGAGGCCTCTCAGGGAATTGAGGCCTCTCAGGGAATTGAGGCCTCTCAGGGAATTGAGGCCTCTCAGGGAATTGAGGCCTCTCAGGGAATTGAGGCCTCTCAGGGAATTGAGGCCTCTCAGGGAATTGAGGCCTCTCAGGGAATTGAGGCCTCTCAGGGGAATTGAGGCCTCTCAGGGAATTGAGGCCCTTCAGGGAATTGAGGCCTCTCAGGGAATTGAGGCCTCTCAGGGAATTGAGGCCTCTCAGGGAATTGAGGCCTCTCAGGGAATTGAGGCCTCTCAGGGAATTGAGGCCTCTCAGGGAATTGAGGCCTCTCAGGGGAAATTGAGGCTCTCAGGTAATGAGCCCTCTCAGGGAATTGAGGCCTCTCAGGGAATTGAGGCCTCTCAGGGATTGAGGCCTCTCAGGGAATTGAGCCCTCTCAGGGAATTGAGGCCTCCCAGGGAATTGAGGCCTCCCAGGGTTTTGTGGCATCTCAGGGTTTTGAGGCATCTCAGGGAATTGAGGCATCTGAGGTATATCAGGGAATTGAGGCATCTGAGGCATCTCAGGGAATTGAGGCATCTGAGGCATCTCAGGGAATTGAGGCATCTGAGGCATCTCAGGGAATTGAGGCATCTGAGGCATCTCAGGGAATTGAGGCATCTGTGGTATATCAGGGAATTGAGGAATCTGAGGGTATTGAGGCATCTGAGCTACAGGGGAATTGGGGGAAGTCGTTTTGGAAGCAGGAGTTGAGGCAGGTTTGGAACACCAGAGAGATACTGGAATTCCTTGCCAACGCATCGGGAGTACATAACTTCCACCCTTTGGGAGAAAAACATACAATTAGAAACAGCAAGGAATCACACAAACCTGTCAATGTTACAATCCGACTGTACAAGGCAAAAGATTAATCTCATGCTATATCTTCTGAATAGATCATCATGATGCAACATATTTGAATGTCGGTCCCCATCCAAAAAACATAGTTAATCAGTACATTTGAAAGCAAGCGAAAAACAACTCATTTGAAAAGCTGAAAACACATTTTCGCTTTAGATCAATATGATGCAGATTAAACATTTAATTTATTTGGCTCTCGTTAAACCATTCATAACTATAACAATTCACAGCACTAGCCATCGTTTTTTTAAACTCACTTCCTCACTCTTTAAATCAGTCTCACATTACCTCTTGAACCATGTTGCAGCCATCATAGGGAACCAACATGACAAGTGCATGTGAGTTCCTCTGCATGCTGTAGCCACAGGTAGACGGGACCTGGGACAGAGGCATTGGAGGTGCATTTCCTGTGGGGTAAAAAGGTTCAGTGTTTATATCATTGGTAGAGATAAATCAAGTCTACATTTAGGATATTATGGCTATTGATTTACCTTGTTCTACTGCAAATTGTGATGCTCCTGGTTCCACCGCTCTGAACTTCAACTGGCCCGAACCACACTGCAGTGAGGGCGACATGCTCTTCCATGATGAGTCTTGGGGACTGGCCACTTGTGTTGGGCTCATCCAGCCTGAAGGCGAATATAATATACATATTTTTAAATAGTTTGTACTTTAAAGAGATGCAAAACAATTCAAGCAAAAATAACAAACCCTTCAATACGTAATCAAAATATTTTTACCTGCAGCGTCTGCTTGATAATCACCTTCATCCTCCTCATAAGCGTTTGAGGATGATTTATTGGTCCCGTCTGTGACTTGAGAATCAAGACCTGACCCTTTTTCAAAAGCTCTCCCGAAAACAATTGTCCCCTCTTGGAACCCATTTGTTGCATCGGCATCTTTTCTCCCTTCTCGTCTTTCTGTTTTCTTCAGACGATAACAGTTCTAAAGTTTGCGCAAATAACACGTCAGAATAATAGCTGCAGCCAGGTAAACACCAGCGCCTTTTCTCTTGCGTATCATCCTGTTGCACATGACTGCTGGTAATGTGAAAAGATGAGATAACTTTCTTTGCCGCAACTATTTGAGCATCAGCAGGTGCTGTGACAACCAATACTACAGCTGCATGTGATAGGTGCTCATAGGATTCCCATTCTGTAAAATCAAACTCACTGCAGGTGGAGAGCACTTGGCAATGAAGCATGAGACAGGGCTTTAATACTGACACATATTACCACCAGGCAGCCAATCAACAAGGCAGGTGCAGCCTTAGCTAATGCTTGCACCTGTGTTCAATTAGCTTGCAACAGGTGAGCCTCGTTAAGACTTGTCTAACGTCTACAAAGTAAGCCCTGTATATTGATCATGTAGATCGGGGGTGCCCAATACGTCGATCGCAAACGTAGTGTGGGTAGATTGCATGACATTGAAGCGCAAATGCGGCGCACCTTTATGCGCTTAAGAGGCGCTATTGGTGTAAGCGCTCCACAGTTTCTCCGCCGCTGTGAGGTTCCGCACTCACAGTTCACTAGCACCGTTGGTTTCAAAGGCAATACCAACTATTACAAATCCATCCAACCCACTTTATTTGTATAGCACATATGAAAAACAGAGGGTTTACCAAAGTGCCTCACACCAAACATAACATTATAATAACATATAATAATAGATGAAAGGCACACATAAGAATTAATACACAGTACATAAAGGCTATGGACATACAATAAAAGCATAACAATCAATAAAACATAGCTCAGACTGACTCGAAAGCGAGGGAAAAGAGGTGGGTCTTTAGGCGAGACTTAAAAGTTTTGGAGGGTGGGCGACAATTTGAAATGGGGGGGCAGGTCGTTCCAGAGCCTGGGGGCTACCGCTGAGAAGGCTCGATATACAAACTGTTCAACCTACAGAGATGACAAAAAGTGTTCTTCCAAATACAAAAAAGCCTCTGTATACGCTGTCTCGCAAACACCTTGGTTGGTTTTAGGGACTACCAGCAGCAGCTGAAGCAAAATGAAGTCACAAGAATGATAGACACATAACAATACAGTATTATTTGGGCATGGCTAATATAATTGTTGATGGCCAAACATGTCATAGAAGTAACACAACTCTGCTCACACTCTAATCACACTCTCGACCTTGTTCTGACTTATGGTATTGAAATTGAGCAACTATTAGTCGAACCGCATAATGCTGCTTTATACGACCATTTCTTAGTAACATTTGAAGTGCTGTTACTAGACTACAAAGCATTAGTCAAAAGTTCCTGCAGCAGAAACCTATCTGTTAGTGCTATAGCCACATTTAAGGAAGAGATTCCACCAATACTTAACTCGATAGCATGTCTGCATGTAAGGGAGGCAAGGCAAGGCAAGTTTATTTATATAGCACTTTTCAACACAAGGCAATTCAAAGTGCTTTACAAAAAATGAAAGAGATTAAGAAAATGGCATTTAAAATCAGTCATTAAAAAGAAAAGCTAATAAAATAAACATTAAAAGAAAAATACATGGATACAAGTTACAGTGCAGTCAATTAAACATTAAAAGAAAAAAGTACATGGATCAAAGTTACAGTGCAGTCTAAGATATGAATAGTTCAATTAAAAGCAGCGACAAAAAGAAAAGTCTTCAGCCTGGATTTAAAAGTAGTCAGAGTTGCAGCGGACCTGCAGGTTTCTGGGAGTTTGTTCCAGATATTTGGAGCATAATAACTGAACGCTGCTTTACCATGTTTATCTGGATGGTTCATAATTTAGCAGGAGGTCAGAAATGTATTTTGGGCCTAAACCATTCAGTGCTTTATAAACCAGCAGCAGTATTTTGAAGTCTATTCTTTGACACACAGGAAGCCAGTGTAAAGACTTCAGAACAGGAGTGATGTGATCCACTTTCTTAGTGTTAGTGAGGACTCGAGCAGCAGCGTTCTGAATTAGCTGCAGCTTCCTAATAGATTTTTTAGTGAGACCTGTGAAGACACCATTGCAGTAGTCCAGTCTACTGAAGATAAAAGCATGGGACAAGTTTTTCCAAATCCTGCTGTGACATTAGTCTTTTAATCCTAGATATATTCTTTAGGTGATAGTAGGCTGATTTAGTAACAGTTTTAATGTGACTGTTGAAACTCAGGTCAGAGTCCATGACTACACCTAGATTTCTGGCTTTATCTGTTGTTTTGAACATTGCACACTGAAGCTCAGCGCTAACTTTTATACGTTCTGCCTTGGCTCCAAAAACCATTACCTCAGTTTTATCTTTGTTTAATTGGAGAAAAGTTCTGACACATCCAGTCATTGATTTGTTCAATGCACTTACTCAGTGTTTGAATTGGAGCATAGTCTCCTGGTGAAATTGTTACGTAAATTGTGTGTCATCTGCATAGCTATGGTAACTTATTTTGTTGTTCTTCATTATCTGAGCCAGTGGTAGCATGTAGATGTTAAAGAGAAGAGGCCCCAAGATGGAGCCTTGAGGAACCCCACATGTCATATTTGTCAACTCAGATGTGTATTTACCTATAGAAACAAAGTTGTTTCTGTCCTTTAAGTAGGATTCAAACCAATTCAGAACTGTTTCCGAAAGTCCCACCCAGTTCTCCAGTCGGTCTAGTAATATGCTGTGGTCAACAGTGTCAAACGCAGCACTGAGATCTAATAATACTAACACTGAAGTTCTGCCACTGTCTGTGTTTAAGTGGATGTCATTAAAGACCTTTACAAGAGCAGTCTCAGTGCTGTGGTTTGGACGAAAGCCTGACTGGAACACATCAAAACAGTCATTTAAATGCAAGAAATTACTCAACTGTTGAAAAACAACTTTTTCAATGATTTTACCTAGAAATGGGAGGTTTGATATGGGCCTGTAATTGTTCATTACTGAAGCATCTAGATTATTCTTTTTTAAGAGCGGTTTAATGACTGCAGTTTTCAGGGCCTGTGGAAAAATACCTGAGTGAAGAGATTTGTTTACTATATGAAGTAGATCTGAGGCCATGCAAGGCAAAACATCTTTGAAAAATCCTGTTGGAATAATATCAAGGCAGCAGGAGGAGGATTTCAGAAGTTGAATAATGTCCTCTAGGTTTTTATCATTAATCTGATGGAATTGTGTCATGATGTCTGAATTGATGTTAAGTGGAGATAGGGACAACACATTTACTGTTCCTGATGCAGAGGCACTGACTGCTTGTCTGATTTTCTGAATTTTGTCAGTGAAAAAGGAGGCAAAATCATTGCACGCCCTGGTGGATAGAAATTCAGAGGCTACTGACACTGGGGGGTTAGTTAGTCTGTCGACGGTAGCAAACAAGGCACGTGCGTTGTTTTTGTTTTTGGTAATGATGTCAGAGAAGAACGATTGTCGTGCGTTTTTCAATTCCAAATTATAGAGGCCAAGTCTCTCTTTATAGATTTCAAAGTGAACCTGGAGATTTGTTTTTCGCCACCTGCGTTCAGCTTTTCGACATTCTCTTTTTTCTGTTTTCACGGTCATGGCCTTTCTCCATGGAGATATTTTCTTGCCAGACACTTCCTTACCTTAGTTGGAGCAATGGCATCTATAACATTTTTAATTTTTGAATTCAAATGATCTACTAGCTCATTTACTGAGATGTTGGCAGGGGCAAGTGTGGAAGAGAAATTCTGAGTAAACATTTCCCTAGTGTTTTCAGTTAAATATCGCTTTGTGGTTACCTCTTTTTGAACATTTTTGTGAACAGAAATAGAGCTCTCAAAGAAAACACAGGAATGGTCAGAGAGTGCAACATCAGTCACCACAACCTTAGAGATATTCAGACCCTTTGAGATAATTAAGTCCAGAGTGTGCCCCTTATTGTGCGTGGGCTCCGTCACATGCTGAGTCAGTCCATAGCTATCAAGAACACAAAACAGTTCTTTAGCCCCTCTGTCCTGGGGGTTGTCAACATGGATGTTAAAATCACCAACAATGACTAGACGGTCAAAGTCAATACACACTATAGACAGCAGTTCAGTAAAGTCATCAAAAAAGCTTGCACAGTATTTGGGTGGTCTATAGATATTTAGGAACAGAGCTCGAGAGGAGCATTTCAGCCGGAGGGCCACATATTCAAAAGAATCAAAGTTTCCATAAGATGTCTTCCTGCATTGAAGGGCATCATTGAACAGAATAGCAACTCCACCCCCTTTCTTATGCATTCTTTCCTGACTCATAAAACTGAAGTTGGGAGGGGTTGATTCGATAAGAACAGCTGCACTGTTATTTTGTTCAATCCAAGTTTCTGTTAAAAACATAAAATCGAGATTGTGCTCAGTGATAAAATCATTGATTAAAAATGTTTTTCCTGCTAAAGACCTGACATTTAATAAGCTAGTTTAAGTTTGTTAAACACACTATCAGTCATGTTTTTTGTAACAAGCTGTGGCTGACATGCAATCACTGCTAAATTAGATACACTCACACAAACGTTTGAGCGCTTCCTGTTTCTATGATTCACCGCTCTTAATCTATTACCTATCAACACAGATATCGGCAAAGCTACTGGCAGGCAGGGCCCCGACATGTCCTTGAAAGAGTTGAGTGCCATACGCCCTTGAGCCTGGACCCATCACATATCAGTAAGAGTTTGTTGTGTTTTGTACACACACATCCTTATCAGGCTTCGGAGACTGCAGAAGCCCCCTCGAAGGGAGGGGAGGTGGTCGACGTAGGCACGGTGATGGAGACGGGCTAGATGGTGCGGGGTAGAGGACATGCTGCCAGGGGGGGGAGGTGGTTGACGTAGGCGCGGGTGATGAGGACGGGGGAGATGGTGCGCGTCTCCGCGGTGATTTTGGTGGGCGTCGTTGAGGAGCGGGGGTAAAGGACATGGTGCCAGCCCTGCGTATCGCCTTCGTTTGGTCTTTGAACTCCAGGAAGGAATCGGTGCCAACCCTCTGTATCTCCTTTGTGTGTTCAT